GATAGCGCCACCTAGTGGTAAAAGTAAATTAAATTTTTATACTTAAATTATGTATAGCTTCCAGCAGATTGACCAGATCCAGCGGAAATTCTGTCAGAAGTCTGTTAAGATGATGACGATGACATCTTATGAATCTTAAGAATTTTCATATTACCACATTACCATGGCGACACGGCGAAAATCAGCTTTTGTGTTAACATTTAAACACTTTTTGGGGGGGGAAACATACCCAAAAACTCATGAAACTTCAGTCGTGACGAAGGCTTACGTATCGTCTTGGTCCCGTAAATGGGCGCTGCAAAATGGCTTAGCCACGCCCCCCCAGTATCAGCCCCCCAGACAGTACGACCAACATGTACGAAAATTGGTACTCATCTGTATCATTATCGGACAAGCAAAAAAGCCTGTTGGACCCATAACCCAAACCCAAAAAGTTGGCTTTTTTCCCCGATTTTTCACGTTTTATTTGAATTAACTTCTCCTACGGATTATATCCGATCAATTTAAAAATTGATCAGTACAATCAAAACAAATTGCAGATGAAAATTACAATATCAAATCTTGCCAGGATTCAAGCTATGCACTTGTGTCTGAATACAGTGATTAGGGACAAGTGAGTATTGTCTAAGGCAGTTCTGCCGAACCTTTCTCCTTATGGAACCACTTTTTTGTCATGAACGACCCCTGACTCAGTGACATATTTTATGGATATTTCGAATTATACTCGATGCATAACTATAACAGTAGAGAAAAACTGATAAACTGTACAATGAATCCAAACAGTGAACACAATAACTGCAGGAAGTTTGTGTAAAACAAGCAATTTGCATGAATCTTGACAATATCAGAGTTAAGTTTTTCTGATATTTCTGGGAACTTTTTATACGATCCTGTCTTTATCATGTATTTTTTTTTAAATCATACAGACTTACTAGGCTTCTTCTTTGACCAATTCAGTGTTTTCTTCTCATTCTTTTATTAGCTCGGATGTTTAGCAGAGCGTGATGACTCCGAGTCACACAAAATAGGTTGTGTTCAGGTCTTCAAGTTTAGATCTTACACAACAATCTAAACTTTTAAAAATAACAATTTCATTTACTTTAGTTGTGTTCATAGAAATTGCTGAGATATAGGGGTACTGTATTTATTTAGTTTTCTTACACCCCTTTAAATCAAGAAGGCCTTGCAATAACTTTATAAGGAGTACGGTCTAGACTTGCTCCATTTTGAAAAGTGTCCTGACATAACTTCTGTTACGATTTGGCACTATACAAATAAAACTGAATTGATTTGAACCCCCCTTAATGTTTTGGCCACACCCATGTTGGGAAACACTGCTCTATGGAACTACTGGGAGCATTGGCATGAGTTACGCCTATAGGTTAACGCTAGGTGTGTGTGACGATGTGTGTGAGAAGTGGTAGCTCAATAACAACGCCAACAGTTAAAGAGGTTAGTGTAGCATGCAACAGTTATATCAGAACTGGAGCATATATTGGAAGAGCAAAGAACGGCGCTGAAGGTTTTTCTCGATGGAAAAAATTGTATCGCTCTTCTCCTGACTGGCTTTGGCGCAGTCAGTTTATTGACAAATTAACCACAATGTGGGGATGAATTGTATCTTGCACATTTCAAGTTCTTAAAGTAATAAAACGTCCCCTCAACATATATGTCTTTTTTGGCCACTCTGGAGCTCAGTATGGGACAACTGCATTACCATGTAAAAATAAAATGACTTTCACAAAAAAAAATTAGTTCACTGATGGATTACAATTATCTCAACCCAGATCAATTTTCAAAACATGCTCGCATAAAATGAAAGTAAACAGCGGGAGACACTTTTTGAAAAAAGGCAGGAAAAAGAATTGTTGTATTTCAGCTTGCTTTATTTTTTCACCCAGTACATTTAGAGTTTGACTTAACAGGAGTCCATGATGCGCCTGATGGAGCTGAACTTTGGCATGTTGCTAATCCCCATCTCTCTGAGGTTCCTGTACTCTCCTGGCCTGAGGTACAGCATCCGGCCTCTGTAGTTGGGCTGCTCGAACATCAGCCAGTGGCCCTCCATCACGTTGCAGGACTGGCAGTCAGACATGTGGAAACGATCCATCACATTGTCACAGTCATCCATCAGCTCGTGCATCTGGCCACCGAAGTTCTCCCTCTCATAGATCCTCATTCGGAAGGGTCCCCTTTGCTGTGGACAATAAAAATTCAACCCAGCCTTTAGATCTACACATTACTGATGTAGGAAGCTGAGAACGGCTGTGGTTGACTATCTCTAGATAACAAGTTAATTATCTAATTATCTCAAGATAACATGATAATTAACTTGGGATCTTGAGATAATGCTTACTAAAAAATTAT